TTTCACAATATTGAGTCTACCTATCCATGAACAGGGCACATTTTCCCATTTCTTTAGGTCTTTTATTATGTCTTGAAGAAATATTCTGTAGTTTTCTTTGTATAGGTCTTTTGTATCTCTAGTTAGATTCACTCCCAAATATCTCACTTTGTTGCTAGCTATATATAATAAATGGTACTGCTTTCTTGGTTTTCTTCTCTGAGTTCTCTTTGTTTCTATAGAGGAATCCCACTGAGTTTTGGATATTAATCTTATATCCTGCTATTCTAGTAAATTGGCCTAGTAACCCATAACAGTTTTTTTGTTGAGTCTTTGATGTTTTTAGTGTACATTATCATATCATCCACATATAGCAATAGTTTAACCATCTCTTGATGCCTTTTATTTCCTTCTCTTGTCGTATTGTCTTAGCAAGCACTTCCAAAACAATATTGAATAGAAGTGGTGACACTGGGCATCCTTGTCTGGTCCCTGTTTGCAAGGAAAATGCATATAGCCTTTCTCTATTGAGAATGATGTTGACTAATGGTTTTACCTAAGCTTTTCACTATGTTGAGGAAATTCCCTTCTGTTCCAGATTTGCTGAGTGTCTTTATCAGGAAGAGGGTATTGGATTTTGTCAATTGCAAAGATCATCAGGTTCTTGTTACTTTGTTAACATGGTGAATTATGTTGATTATTTTTCCTTAAAAATATGGAATGCTTCACAAATTTGTGTCATCCTTGCACAGGGACCATGCTAGTCTTCTCTGTATCATTCCAGTTTTAGAATATGTGCTGCTGAAGCGAGCACAGCCACTATAATTGTTTGTTATTTTGTTAAGTGCCATGGAGTCCAGTACTGCTCATAGTGACCCTATGAACCACAAGTCTGAACTCTGACCTGTCCTGCATTGTCCTTACCATTCTTGACAGATTTGTGTCCTTTGCTGCAGACACTGTACCAGTCCATCTCATTGAGGGTCTTCCTGTCCTTTGCTGACCCTCCACCTTTCCAAGTATGATGTCCCTTTCCAAGAAATAACCTCTCCTAACATGTCAAGAATATGTGAGACAAAGTATCACTACTATCTTTGCCTCCGAGGAACACTCTGGTTACACTTTCTCCCAAGACAACAGGTTCATTCTGGCGAGGGTGAAACCAGGCTGCTCCTTGGAGGCAAGGATTCTGAGGCTTCGTCTGACGAACTTTGGGCATGTTGCAAGGAGGGACCAGTCCTTGGAGAGGGACATCATGCTTAGAATGGTGGAGGGGCCGCCCAAGAGAGGAAGACCCTCGATGAGATGGATTGATTCAGGGTAATGGGGGTAGGTGTGTCAGGGACAATAAGGTTGGTACAGGATAGAGCAGGGTTTGTGGCTATTGTACATAGGGTCACTGGGAGTCAAAAGTGACTTGAAGGCACATAACAACATGATAGTTTTGGTGCGGATTTACACGGATGTTTAGATTCCCCTTGGTTACATTTTTTCAAATTGTGTGAACATTCTCACTATTTCTGTCCTGGTCATTCTGTCATCGCCAAGAATTATTAATATTGATTACAGATTCTCACAGAAATACTTAGCATGTCTATTGTGCTAAGATTTTAGGGGGAATGTTTTTTGTTGTTTTTATTCCTCCCTTCTACTTAGCACTTTATTAGTGAGATTTATGCTAATCAGAGAGGGGAGGCTGGGATAGGCAGGACTAGCATCCATCTGAGGGGGCTTTCTAAGACATCAGGAATTTCTCCATTCATGTTTAGAGCACACACACACACACACACACACACCCCAGAAGGGAGTGCCTGTTAGGCAGCCTGGGATGGTGACACACCTTAGGCACAGCTGGGCCCCTTGGACAGCAGAGCCATGATTCAGCCTCAGTGTCGATGGCTGGGAAATGGTGGCTGTGCCTGCACACAGGCACACCGTCGGCCCCCACCAGAAACTTCTCAAAATTCCAGGCAATGTCATTGCAGCACATCGGAGACCATTTGATCAATGCCATGAGTGCAGTAGTATCGTCACTGGGCTTGCAGAAGAGTGAAGAGGGGATGCACCTGAGCACTACTAATGTCCATTTCTCAAAAAAGTGTGAAGTTGGGCTCGAACCCGTGCCTGTTTGGACATGTTTCAGGGAATTCAGAATCTCTTCCTTTTTGGCATTCTCCTGATGCCCAGACTGCTTGCATGGGAAGCAGAGCATGGCCAGCCCTCAGGGGCCGAGGAGCCGCTGCAGATCATTTATCTGGGTATAATCCTGGACCATGGTGCCTCAAAGCCACGTTAAGTTCCCCATGAGCAGCACTTTGCTCCCTGCAGGGAGCCGAGGCTCAGGGACTCTCTGGGTTAGCAGGCACACAGAGAAGGCATGCATGTGCGCGTGGCTGCCGCTCACTGCCAGGGGAACAGCACACATGGCGAAGGACTGGGAGAGGAGCTTAGAACTTAGGACCCAGAATGGGGGTATGGGGGAGAATGTTTTAAATATTCACATGCCTGTACTGTATCATTCTCTTTGGTGTGTTTAATTTTAATAATAGCATTATAAATTCCACTCTGGTAAATTGCAGACATTATTTGCTAGGGCTCAGCAACCCCCTAACTAGGTAGCCTAGGTCCCCCAGCTTAAACCTTACCAGGCCTCCAAATGTTCTAGGATGTAATAGCAATATATGTATCAGCAAAAAGATACTACAACAACAACATCATAGAACTTTATAAGATCTTTTGTCAACAGAACCTTGAAAGGCCACAAGATGGAGATGTTAAGTATGAAAACTAAATATTTTCTTTATAAATTAAGTTGCTGTGTTTAGAGCACTTTTTTATCTATTAATAGAAGAGCACTGGCATTTATCAAGCACATGCTAAGTGTTAGACACTACGCTAAGTACTTGAAAAACACTATCACCTTTAATTCTCACAAGTGAGATGACATTATCTTCTTCAGTTTAAAGGTGAGAAAATATGGGGTGAGGCTCAAAGACACTTGGCAGTGTGACTTTCAAACTCACAAAGACCATAGGGGTAAATTTGGATTGCAAACCCAGGTCTGAATGAACACACAAATCAGGCTCTCTACTTTCATACTTGTTGCTTCCCTGCTGATACGTAGATTGATTTCAGGAAATCTCTATGAGAGTAATGTCAAACTCTAATGTCAAATTTCTACAATCTGTCAGATCACCTTTTTTTTTTTTGGAATGGGAATAAATATGGATCTCTCCCTGTCAATTGGCCAGGTAGTTGTCTTCCAGAATACTTGGCCTACCTTGGTGAAGTGTGTCCAGTGGTGCAGCATCTGTTTGTTGAAATATGTCAGTCTATATATGGAACAGATCATCTGGGACACTGGACTCTGTGAGGAGAAATGTGACATCAGGATTGTAGGAAGACTTATCAACAACCTGTGTTATGCAGATGACACAACTTTGCTTGCTGAAACTAAAGAACACTTGAAGTATTTGCTGCAGAAGGTCAAGGACTGCAGCCTTCAATATGGATTGAAGCTCAACATCAAGAAAACAAAGATTCTCACCACTGGGCCAATTGGCAGCATCATAATAGATGGAAAAGAGATTGAGATGGTAAACAGTCAAAGCTTGCTTGACTCTACAGTCAACACTCTTGGTACCAGCAGCCTGGAAATCACAAGACAAATTGCACTGGGAAAATCTGCTGTCAAGGACATCTCCACAGTACTGAAGAGCAACAATGTCAGTAGAGTCTAGAGACTAAGTTGTACTTAATTAAGGCTATGGCCTTTGCAGTTACTTGCTAGGCATTAGAGAGCTGAACAATAACTTAGGATGATAGAAGAAGAATCAATACCTTTGAGTTGTGGTGCTGGAGAAGTTTATTGAATGTACCATGGATTACTAAGAGAACAAACAGGTCTGTCTTGGAGAGGGTGAAATAGGGCTGCCCTTGGAGGCAAGGATTTTGAAGTTCCATCTCACATACTTTGGGCATATTGGCAGGAGGGACCATTCCTTGGAGAAGGACATCATGCTTGGAGGAGTGGAGGGGCAGCACAAAAGAGGAAGAATCTGGATGAGATGGATTGACTCAGTGACTTTGGTAATGGAGGTAGATGTATCAAAGACAATTAAATTGGCTCAAGATAGATCCGGGTTTAGAGCTCTTGTACATAGGTTTGCTGTGAGGTGCAAGCAACTTGACTGCACATAACAGCAACATACTCTCACCCACATCCAATCAATCATTTAGTTTTTGAAATGTCTCTCTTCTTATATTTACTCCTTAGCCTAGTGCTTTCTCACCATCCACCACCTCCTTTGCTCTGCCTTTTTACTGAATTCACATAGGCATCAGTATCTCCTACAATACTTTATTGTTTATTAAAAATGGAATGTTCTTCATAAGCTTCTAACACAAGTGGGCAAACTTTTTTATTCTTCTTAGTATATTATATAGTATAAGGAGTTGTGTTGGCATGGTGGTTAGATGCTTGGATGCTAGTTGAAAGGTGGACATTTTGAACTTTTCAGGCACTAGGCAGAAGAAAAGATATGGCAGTCAACTACTGTGACCATGACATCCTTGGAAACCCTATGGCACAGTTGTGTGCTATCCTGCAGGGTTGCTTTAAGTCAGAATCAGTTCAACAGTATGAATCATTATCAGTCTATATGTACTATACAGCAGAAATAGGTTACAGCTATTTCCACATGGTATCCTAATTTATTTTTGTTGAAAAGGAAGCTGATGAGTGATCAAGGTGTCTGACTAGATTCTGATAATACATTTCATTTGCTTTTGGGTTATATTACTAGTAAGAAACAGGGCTAAAAATAAACTATATGTTATATATCTTTAATTGAATACTTCCAATCAAATTGAAGATTATTGCTTTAAAATTATAAACTTTAAAACTTTGTGGTTTAATAATCTCTGAGAATTTGCTCTTCTAGAATATATCTAATAAACTTTCAAATACTATAAATTTTCTCAAATAAATAACAAATTGTCTATATTTTTCCCCCAAATAGTGTTCAGAATCAGGTGGATGAAGTTATTGATGTTATGCAAGAAAATATTACAAAGGTAATTGAAAGAGGGGAGAGACTAGATGAACTGCAAGACAAATCAGGTACAGATACTTTATATATTTCTTGGTATTTATTATTAATCTGTGTTTTAGTTGCTTATTTCTTTTCCCATTTGTCTAATCAAAGCTTAGTAATCACAGTTTATAATTTTAATGGTTTAATATTCACTTTCTTGTCTTTGTAACATCCTTTTTGTTCTGTCATAGTTGTTCAGTTGAAAAGAATGGATTTTAAAATTCACTGTTGAAGAGAGAGAACAGAAAAACAACTCTTGCTTGGGGAGAGGGTTTTTTTGTCCTTTTGCTCTATTATGTGGTTGTGCTGTAGCGTTCTTTTGATCTCAAGGATTAGCATTCTGAGTGCTTTTTTCCAACACTATGTTAGCCTATTCTGATATTAATCTTTCTTTATTGACAAGTGATAGTCTTTGTATTAGTTCCTAGAATATATTAGGTACTTAAATATTGTTTGAATAATGAAAAGCTGGATATCTCAATGCCTAAGTCATAATAGCTTTATTTAACTAAAAACATGTTTAATCACACTTTAAAAAGAAATTCTTTTTGATCCAGTAGCAATCTACTTTTTATCGCATCTAAGAATCTAACCTTCTTAACATGTAACTATTTTTGTATAGATATACCACATATTTTTTTTAAATATACTTCTTCACCAGAACTTAAAAGTTTCTTTCAAAGTATTAATACTCTGAAAAGACTTCTCTCATTCATAGAGTCAAAATAGATTCCATAAATTGACCTATAGTGAATTATTTTTCTAAAATGTAGAGTGTCAAGACTATATGGGTGGCAGAAAGGAAGGATGTTGTTTTCATGCTTAAAAGGGCCTGAGTTTGTAGAAAAAGAAATTAATATTTTCTTGTCTTTGTGTGACTAGATAAACGAATCCTGTTATGTCGTTTAATCCTTCTCTCCATCCTCTATGTGATATAGAAAGCTTATCGGATAATGCAACTGCTTTTAGCAACAGATCCAAACAACTTCGAAGACAAATGTGGTGGCGTGGATGCAAAGTACGTGAAACACTAAGTATTTGTTACATTGGGTAGTATCTCAAGTGGTTTCTAAAGACATGACTAAAATAGGACCTCTAGATCATGAACTCTATGAGGATAAGGACTCTTACTGTCTTGCTTATTATTATACCTTCTGTATACCTGGGGTAAGTAGGAACTCAGTATATATATATATATATATATATATATCTCAGATTAATTGCTGTTGAGACAGGAATAAGTAAAAAAAAAAATCTAACAATGCCTAATAAATAATTTAATATAGACTCCTTTAATCCACATTTTATTAATAAATTACTAATACCTTGTAATAAGTATAAATTTTCTGTATTTATATTCTTATACTTTATTATTACTATTATTTTGAGGCATCTATAGCATTGAAGTATCTCTGGGCATCCTGTGGTTAGAGCATTAACCCAGAACGTCAGTGATTTGAACCTACCTGCTGGTCTGTAGGAGAAGATGCGGGAGTCTGCTCCTTCAAAGATTTATAGCTTCAGAAACTGGCACAGTTCTAGTCTTCCCTGCAGGGTCACTGAGTCAGAACTCACTTGACAACAGCAGATTTGCTTTTTCCTTTAAAAAAAATTATCAAACATAGAGATAATACAAAAATTAAATGGAAATGAGAGAAAAGTGAATTTTATATCAAACAGGAGAACTATAAAAGCAGTTCACATCTCAGAATTGTTAACAGAAAAATACTCACTCTAGTCCTCATTATTGCAGTGATTTCTTAGACTCACAGACATTTTTATGAAGGAGAAGAAAGAGTAGACTCACTCTATATTAGTATAATCCTGCAAAACATTTTCTAGAAGCTCATGTTTTCACTGTAAGTACAGTACTAATCATTACACATAAGATGTTTCTTTTTATATTATAGTGAATTTCTTGTCTTCCTTTTTTCTGCTGCTTTGATAGATTGTTTTTATTTGATTGAAAATCTTAGACATGACTTCATTATTTTTTTTCAAAATTAATAATTATATTACAAAAATAACTTTGCCATAAGCTAACGATCTTTCAGGGGTTACCTTGGATTTGCTGAATAGTTTTTCTGTTTACTTGCTGAATCCTCTCACGTTCAAAAGTAGAACTGATAAAAGAAATGGGTAAATTCACCCCCTTGTCTAGAATATTTTGTCTTTATATTTCCTCTACCATATACTAGTTTGGAAGTGTCTGTGTCATCCACTTGCTGATCCTTCTCCTCTCTAGTCACCACAAGCACACTCGTACTTAAAACTGCAACAGATGATCATAGTGTGTATTTTCCCTAAAGTGTTTCCCCAGTCAACAACCTCTGTTATACAGGTAATAATACAACCTTGGTTGCTAAAAGTAAAGAGGACTTGAAGTATCTGCTGTAGAACATCGAAGGCTACAGCCTTCAATATGGAGTACATCTTAAAATCAAGAAGAAAAAGAGGAAAAATAAAAAATCCTCACCACTAAATCAATAAACAACATCATGACAGATGGAGAAAAGATTTAAATTGTCAACATATTTCATCTTACTTGCATCCACAGTCAACATCTTTGGTAAAACAGTCAGGAAATCAGGAGTTGTATTGATGTGGGCAAGTCCACTGTCAGGGACCTCTCCAAAAGAGACTAAAGTGTGCTTGATTCAGGCCATGTTTTCAATCACTTGTTGTGCATCTAAGAGCCAGACAGTGAATAAGGGTGACAGAAGAAAAATTTATGCCTTTGAATTACATTGGGGAAGAGCACTGAATATCTATCTCATGGACTACCAAAAGAACAAACAGATATATCTTGGGGAAAAGTGCAACCAGGGTGCTCCTTGGTGGCAAAATATTTCATACTTTGGGCATGTTGCTAGGAGAAGCTGTTCTTGGAGAGGAATATCATGCTTGGAAAAATGGAGGGTCAATAAAAGAAGGGAAGACCCTCGACAAGATAGATTGACACAAATCTCTGTTTGTGTCTCAGTTCTAGTTTCCATGGTGTATGTTCCTAGTAGTGAAATAGCTGGGTCATACAGAGTTTCTGTGTTCAGCTTTTTGAGGAAATGCCAAACTGCCTTCCAGAGTGGTTGCACCATTTTACAGTCCCACCAGCAGTGTATGAGAGTTTCACCTCTCCACATCCTCTCTGCTACTGGGGTGAGATCATATCTCACTGGGATTTTGATTTGCATCTCTCTTATTGCCAGTGATTTTGAGTATTATTTTCATGTGTCTGTTTGCCACCTGAATGTCTTCCTCTGTGAAAAATCTTTCCATATCTGTCTTTTGCCCAGTTTGTAATGGGTTATCAGTCTTTCTCTTCTGGAGGCCCACGAGTATTCTGTAAACTTTTGTCATGAGACCCTTATCTGAGATGGTATTGCCAAATGCCAAATGTTTTTTTCCCAGTCTATAGGTTTTCTTTTCACCATGTTGGAAAAAATATTTTAATGAGCATGGGGATTTCATCTTTAGAAAGTCCCATTCATCAGTTTTATTCTCTCCAGATTGTGCACTTCTGGCTGCATTTGTTAGCTTCTTTGTGCTATAGACTTGGCCTTCAAAGCTTGGTCCTAGCATGTCTCTTACAAACGTTACGGTTTTGGGCTTTATTCCCAGGTCTCTGATCTACCTTGAGTTGATATTTGTGTATAGTGTGAGATGTGGCTCCTGTTTCACTATCACAAGAACATGGAAATAGCCCAAATGCCCAACAACAACTGAATGGATTGAGGAATTATGGTGTATTTACAAAATAGAATACTACACAGCACTCAGGAGCAAAACTTTTGAAAAATACTAAATAACTTGAAAGAGACTGGAGAGCATTATGCTGTGTGAACTAACTCAGTCTCATAAGGACAAATACTGCATAAGACCATTATTGTAAAAATAGAAGGTAACTAGTGAAACACGTATGGGGACCCAAGGAAGGAAGGGATAGGAGCAGAAGGATGGGTAGGGACGAAATAAAAGGGTTGCGCAATTTGGTGGGTGGAGGAAGAGGGTAAAGGAAATGAAAAAGATCCATTAGGAACCTGAAAAGACAGGGTAATGGTGGGCATAGTCCAATGATGATTAATTTTATAAAGCATAATGCATGGGAATGATTGTTTGAAACACAGTTTGTATGAATGATAATGTGAAGCACAGTGTATAAGAACTTTGAGCAAACCAATATAAATAAAAATTATTATAAAACAATGAAGCATTTTTATTTGTACTACATATTTTTAAAAAGATAGATTGGCATAGTGATGACAGCAGCCAGCTCAATTGTGTCAGTGGTGATGAGGATGGCACAGGATAAGAAAGGATTCAAATCTGTTATGAGTCATACTGTACTCAGTGGCACCTCACAACAGTTTTTCTGCAATCTGGGTAGAAAGCTGCTCCAGGCTTTCACATACATGGTGAATTATGGACACACACAGAGTTCACTACCTTTCCTATCTTTCAGTGATTGGGGGCAGCACTATGCCCCCTGGTAACTGAAGAAATGATTGGTGGTGTGGTGGTCGTGATGTGCTCTCAAGTCAGAACCAACTCATAGCTGACCTGACTCAGAGCAGGTTTTCAGAAGCTGTAAATCACATGGGAGGGGATTTCTTACCTTTCTCCCTAAGGTGGGTGTGTAAGGAAGCTGTTCATACAGACAGCTCAGACAAGTGGATGTTAGGAAGAGTGTTGGGAACTTTACACCATACTAAATACTTAGTTTTGTGTTTTATAGGTTCAGATAAGAGGAACAATATACTTTTAAATAGATGGTTTTAAAAATTAATTATTTTTATTATCATTCTGAAAACTTTTGACAATCATATACTTTTAAGTATACTTTTGTTCAGAACCTTAACTTCCTGATTTCTTCTCTTTGCTTTGGCTTCTCTGCACACTAATGCAATAAATAGTTAGTCTCTTCTAACATCCGTCTCAGTCTTTTCTTCCTCCTCTGTCTTTGTAATAACTTTTACAAGGTTTACAAGATTGTGAATGACATTCTTGATACCCTCCCAAGCTCATCTGGTCTTCATTAGTGTTAAAGGCATCAAAGCTGTTCTTGAGATGGTTTTTAAATTCAGGTGGGATAGACTAGACTCAGGGTCAAATACTGGTTTCTCTGAGTCTGATTTAATCTTCTTTAGTTTCAATCTGAACTTGTATGTGAGCAGTTGATGGTTTGTTCCACAGTCTGCACTTGGTCTAGTTTCACAGCTATTATTGAGCATCTCCAGTGATACTTTCCACAGGTGTAATTGATCAGATTCCTGTGCATAAAATCAGGTGAAATCCACGTATATAATAATTTATGTTTCTTATAAGAAGTATTTGCAATGAATAAATCACTGATTATACAAAATTCTATCATTCTATCTCCAGCCTTATTTCTGTCACTAATTCCCAACTTTTTATTCCTGTGTCCATATCCTTACAATCTATATGTTGAACAGATCATTCAGAAGGCTGGACTTTATGAGGAGAAATGTGGCATCAGGATTGGAGGAAGACTCATTAACAACCAGAGTTTATGCAAATGACACAACCTTGCTTGCTGAATCTGAGGAGGAAAGTGAAGAACTTGCTGTAGGTCAAGGACTATAGTCTTCGGTATGGATTGAAGCTGACCATCAAGAAGACAGAGATTCTCACCATTGGGCCAGTTACCAGCACCATGATAGCTGGAGAAGAGATTGAGGTTGTTAACAATTTCAGCTTGCTTGTCTCCACAGTCAACAATCTTGGCACCAGCAGTCAGGAAATCAAAAGAGGACTGCATTGGGAAAAGTCTGCTGTCAGAGACCTCTCTAAAGTGCTAAAGAGCAGTGATGTCAGTCTGGAGACTGAGGTACCCCTGATTCAGGCCATGGTTTTCACAATTACTTGCTATGCATTTGAGAGCTGGACAGTGAAGAATCAAGCACTTGAGTTGTGATAACGTGGAGAACAGGATTGAACATACCATGGACAGCCAAAAGAACAAACAAGTCTGTTTGGAGAGGGAGAAACCAAGTTTCACCTTGGAGGCTAGGATTTTGAAGCTGTGTCTCACATACTTTGAGCATGTGGCCAGGAGGGACTGATCCTTGGAGAGCATCATGCTTGGAAGGGTGGAGGGACAGCATAGAAGAGAAAGACCCTGGATGAGATGGATTGCCACAGTAACTGGGGTAATGTGGGTAGGTTTGTCAGAGTCAGCGAGGCTGGGACAGGATAGAGCAGGCTTCAGAGCTATTGTACATAGGGTCACTGAGTCACAGGTGACTTGAAGACACATAACAACAATATCGTGTGCTGTCAAGTTGGAGCTGACCCATAGTGGACCTTGTAGTAGGTTTTCAAAAGCAGTAAATCACATGGTAGGAGATTGTCCTTCCTTCTCCCATGGAGCAGCTGGTCATTCGAGCCACAGGCTTTTGGGACTGCACTGTAGCTTCTTACTCTTTTAGTATGTTTTTGTGTATCATCGAGTCAGAATCAGCCCAGAGCTGATCCTGTGGCAGGTTTTCAGAGGCAGTTAATCTCACAGGAAGAAATTGCCCATCCTTCTTCCATGGAGCAGCTGGTGGATTTGAACTCTGTGCCTTTGGGATTGCAGCACAGATTCTTACCACTGGGCCACCAGAGCTCCCTCTTTTAAGTATACTGCTTTTAAAACTGTTATATCTGTATCACCCTGAGGACCTTTGGAGATCGTGAAATCCAAGAGGTATTGCCTTGGGCATCTGCTGCCAAGGATCTCCTTGAAGTGCTAAAGAGCAAGGATGTCCCTTTAGACTAAGGTGTGTCTGACCTACACCATGATATTTTCAGTTGCTTCACATATTTATGAAAGTTGGACATGAATAAGGAAGATCAAAGAAAAATTAATGCCTTTGAATTGTCATATTGGAGGAGAGTATTGACTGTGGACTGCTAAAAGAATAACTAGATCTTTCCTGGTAGATGTGCAGGCAGTGTGCTCCTTAGAGGCAAGGAAGTGAGCCTCTGTAGGCGTATTCTCAGGAAGGGCCAGTCCCTCGAGAACATCATGCCTGGGAAGGTTTAGGGTCAGCAAAAGAGAGGAAGACCCTCCAGGAGATGGATTAACAGTGACTGTAACAGTGGGCTTTATCACAGTAGAAATTGTGAGAGTGCAAAGTCAGTACCAACTTGATGCCATCTAACAACAGTAGTACCCATTTACCTATATATATATTTAAAAATATGAATTTTAGGCTTGAATGATGAGTGAGATAGTTTTTGTAGAATGACAGGTGAGTTACTTAAGTAGTTAACCAAGGACTAATCATAAGATTCTTTCCTCAACTGAAACTTGCATACGGTTCTATTAGGCAAGATACTAAGTTAGGTTACTCATGAAGACTCTAAATTCTGTGTCTCAAATAGAGATGAACATGCCAAGAAAACAAAAACAAAACACTTTAAAATGGGGAGGAGGGGACCTTAAAAAGAAAACTTCATCTATTTTTGAGACTATAGAATATGAAACAATTCTGCCTTAATGCAGGTAATTCTGAGTCAGTTAGCAGTTGGATGCCTGGATTTTTCATCATACCCTGAACTTGGATCTCTCTCAAGCGCCCGTTGCCATCGAGTCAGAACAGACTCACATGTGGCCCTCTGTTGTGTATCTGAGGGTGTAGCTCATGCCAGAGGAAATAGCCCATCCTTTCCCTGTGGAGCTGCTGGTGGATTTGAACCACCAGAGAAGCATAGGCTTTAGTTAGCAGCTCAGCTCCCTCTGGACTATACTACCAGAGCTCTGTAATGCTTGAGTAGAGCCACTTAAATAGAGTTACTAATAATATTTTAAAAGGGAGCTCTGGTGGCTTCTTGTTATGTGCTGTCGAGTCACCTGCAACTCATAGCAACCCTGTGTACAGCAGCCTTAAACCCTGCTCTGTCCTGTGCCAATCTTATTGTCTCTGACACACCTGAGTGGTATGAAATTGCACTGCCAACACAAAGGTATGTGGTTCAAATCCAATAACTGCTGTATGGAAGAAGGATGTACAGTATTCTTCTGTGAGATTTACTGCCTCTGAAAACCTGCTGTAGGGTCTGCTATGGGTCAGTTTCAGACTCAGTAGTACAGAACAGCAACAATATATACTTTTCTTGGTTTCAAAACTAGAAGAAAGCCTGAGAGAAATTATACAGAGAATGATTCAGGCCCAGGAAGGCTTCATTGTTACTGTTTTACTCAGTAACCTTGAAAAATAATATCCATCCAAGAAAAGCCCTCAAAATGGAGATTTGAAACAAACATTAAAGGAGAACATTTCAAGGAATATACCTTTTTTATTGATTGTTTTATATGATATATAGCATAACAATTTTTATTTTATTGCACAAACATTAATATTTTCTACCTTTTTTGTGTTTCTTGTAGATAAAAGCTATCATGGCTTTGGCTGCTGTTATCCTTTTGTTAGTGATTATCAGTAAGTATTTACTGGATTAATCCTTGTTGGGGACATCATTTGTTCTTGTTGTTGTTGTTTAAGTACCGTTGAGTTGTGACTCATAGTGACCCTATGAACAGAAGACGTGAACACATGTATAACTTTCGTTTCTCCAAGTTCATAGGGTTTCCGGAGGCAAGCTATTTCGGAAGTGGATGCCACTCCTGCTTCCAAGCTTGTTTTAATCGGGGAGCTCCACCAAACACTGTCCACCATGGGTAACCATTCTCGCATTTGACTCATCAGTGTCACAGTGTTTAGCATCACAACAACCACAACTTACTTCTGTACAGCAAGTGGACATACCAGGGCTATACGACCTAGAAAAATGTTTGACCAAAAACAATTAAAACCAGGCCTGAGGTCCACAGATTAAAGTCACCCACCTTTGGCTTGGTAGCATCACTTTCTGTCCACTAGACCAACTGAATCCTAAGTTGTTGTTTTTAAGTGTCATTAAGTTGTAGGTGACTCATAGTGACCCTATGAATGAAAGACCTGAACACTTATATAACTTTCATCCTTTCTCCATGTTCATAGGGTTTCCTGAGGCAAGCTATTTCAGTAGTGGATGCCACCCCTGCTTCATTTTAAGCAGGAGTTCATTTTAATATCTTTTAAATTTATTTTCAGTTGGCTTAATATGATTGGTGTCAGGATAGAGTAACAACTTTTTATTACTAAATTAGACCTAAATTAGGGGCTCTTAACTTTTGTCTTATGGATATGGATAGCTGGAAAAGCTCTAAATTGCTCCTCATGTACAGATGTGTGTTTTTTGTGAAGTGTGAATTTATATTTTTCTCCCATTGTCAGTGGGAATCCTCCTTTCTTTCTTTACCTTTCTCCTCCTCCAAAAGAAAAAAAAGGGAGGACTAAATGACTTGTCCAAGGCCAAATATTACTACTTTTACACTCAGGACCATAACCTACATTTTTCTCTTTATCATTTACTTTCAGCTATGGCAAAGTACATTTTATAATATTGTATATGAAGGACAAGATAAATTCTCCAAATGATGAAGGGTTTTGTTTGTCTCTTTGATAATTTGGGATCTGAGCCTAAATAGTCTATTTTTATTTAAGTGTCATTATTTTTTCTCTTTTTTTGCCAATGCCCATTTATTTATGTTTTCAAAGACTTTTGTGAAAATTTGGAGAGCTCTGTGGCACTATATTTTTAAACTGGAGAAAAAAATAGTTACAAAGAAATATATAAAAAAATACATGTATATTGTCCTGAAGTGGGACCAAGCCATTTGTAGAAGTCGGCTGCCGCCCTGGCCCGTCATACTGGTATCTGTGACAGGGCAGATAGAAACACTTTTCTGTGGTTCTTGGCAGCTTGGCTTTACTTTTAATGGTGAAGGAAACAAAGGTATGGCCCTGCTGTGCTACAACCGGGGCTGTGGCCAACACTTCGATCCGGAAACCAATTCGGATGATGCTTGCACTTATCATCCAGGGGTTCCAGTGTTTCATGAAGCATTGAAGGGTTGGCCTTGCTGTAAGAGAAGAACAACTGATTTTTCTGATTTCTTAAGCATTGTAGGCTCTACAAAGGGGAGATGTAATAGTGAGAAACCTCCTGAGCCAGTAAAACCTGAAGTCAGTAAAACCTGAAGAAAGAATTATCTGAATTGAAACCCAAGAACACATCATTCAAGCCCCTAAACCAGTAGAAGCCCAGATGAACCAATGACAAATTTGGAATTAAAAATATCTCCCTCCCTCAAACAAGCACTTGATAAACTTAAACTGACATCAGGGACAGAAGAAAAGAAAGAAGAAGAAAGTGGTGAAATTAAGATTGGGACCTCATGTGAAAATGGAGGCTATTCAAAGACATACCAGGGTCTAGACGGTCTAGAAGAAACCTGTATATAACATTCTGGAGTACCTATTTTCCATGAATGGATGAAATACTGGAGCTGTTGTAGAAGAAAAACTTCTGGTTTTAATACATTTTTAGCCCACGAGGGATGTACAACAGGGAAACACATGTGGATTAAAAAGTTGCCGGTGGGGAAAGTTGTTCCATGTAGACATTGACTGGCATCAGATTGGGGGTGAAGTCACCATTTCAATATATGCCAAAAATTCACTTCCAGAACTTAGTTGAGTGGAGGCAAACAGTACGTTGTTAAATGTGCTCATTGTATTTAAAGGAGAGAAAGAATTTCATCAAAATGTGAAATTATGGGGTGTGATTGATGTGAAGCGAAGCTATGTAACGATGACTGCCACCAAGATTGAGATCACCATGAGAAAAGCTGAACCTATGCAGTGGGCAAACCTCGAATTACCCACAGCTAGAAACCCTGAAAAACAGACAGAAAATAGAAGAGATTGAATGGGAAGTGGAGCATAATCTGCTTCAGAATTCTTAATTCTGTGTGCTGAAGTGATAGCTGTAAAGTTTTTTAGTTGTTGAAGTTTGCCATTTCAAGGTCAGCAGTAGATTCTCAAAAACCAAAGTCATATCTTTTTACGCCCCCCTCCCCCATCTTCTCTTTTGAGTTACATAAGATTGTTTTATTTCTCTTCAGAAATAATATTGTAGGTGTGTCCTGTACATGAAGCTAAAAAATAGCTCATTAACATAGTTAATTATTTCTTTGTATAACAAAGAAATGTACTTGATTTTGTTTACAAATCTTTATTATCCCATAATTAATAAAAGTAGAATGTCAAGTATTAGGTAATCTTTTTCAAGGATTTTTGTTCCTATACTACTTGAAAATCTTTAAGGAAAAGATAAAGCTCTCTATTATTTTTATCCATTTGGATCAGATTCTCTAGGAAGATTCTAAAGTAGTATAATAAATAAAGGGGACTATATGCATTAGTTAAAATTCATTTGCCACTAATTTAAAAATTATATGAGTAACCTCTCTTACTTGCCCAGCAGTATAATTTAAGAGTATAAAAGGCAAAAAAAAAAAGAGTATAAAAGGCATTGTAAATAGAAATACAGTGGTAGCAAAATTCACCATTTTATAAGACTAAGCAATAACATTCAATATCTCATTCTCATTCTTGGTTATCTAAAGGTCTTGTGTGATGTTAAGACTAAATTATACCTGATTTACAGCCTATATCCTCTTACATTTTTTTAATTTATTAACATACTGAAAAGAAATTCCATCTGGCAACAATGATGGGGGATAAAACCCTGTAGACATAAAGGCTTGTGGATACATTAAGAGTATCAGAAAACTTAAGTATATAAACTTTTTGCTTCTTAAAAAAAATACATGTATATGGTGGACAGTTAGAAAAATATGGAATAACATACTGTATATGTATATTATTGCCTCTTCTTATGCTCCTCAAAAAATAATTTACATACTTTCTAACAAATGTAAATATTTTTCCATGTTGTAAAACATTTTTTTTTTAGTTTAGCAGTTGGCATGCTATGTTTTACCATAATTTGTTTGATCTGAATGCCAATGTTCGACATTTTGGTGATTTTATGACATTTATGCTGCTTTTATTCCATTTAAGCTATCCAGTATTGCAGATAAAAATTTAGTCATTACTGATTTCCAAAAGTAGGCACAGTTATGTTTAGGAAGATCACTTAAAATATAGCATATGATTCTGATTTTTTTTTTCCTTTCTTTTTTTTTCTCTTGCAGTTCTTATAGTTGTGAAATACCATACTTGATTTGATGACAGAGATCTTCATTAGACAGGATCTGGGACAATAATAACAATAAAAGATTGCTGCATAATTTAAATGAAACCTATGTATACACTTCCAGACTTCTTTTTCAAGAAACTGAGAGGCAAGTATCACTTCAAATTAGAACATTGAGAATGTCCAGCTATCTTCTTCCCTTCTAACAAAATGTGCTTTCAGTAATTATGTTTAAGGCAGAAATCACCAGCCTCTTTTTTTTGCCATATTCCAAGGTTCTGATTTGAAGCTCGATACTTGCCAGTTCATTATTCGTGTATATAGTTGAATGCTGATGATGCTATTTCATCCTGTTATATTTTAATGGTATAAGGACTTGAGTTATTGCCTCACAATGGGGATCAGGCTACAGGTCGAGGAGCCTTTGTAGAGTACCAAATCATTGTGCTGTAAGAGATGCATCATCTGTCAATATTTGCAAAATTATTCTTTACACATTACAGTTGCTTTGCAAACAGTTCTCACATGTGTATGGGTATAACATGCTAAATATTGTAAATGTTGCTGCCTTCGGGTATAACTGAAAACATTCCAGTAAACCTATTTTTTACTGTATGAGAGAATATATATTATTTTTTTGCATTTGGGTTATGGAAATGGAACATGTGAAAAGTGTAATTACCACAAAACTGGAGATAATAAAATGGTTGGAGAGTATCATTGGAGTGCTTGAAAACAACCAGAATCTGCAAATCACACTCCATTTTGTTTTCAATTAACTTCCGATAAGTAGAGATCAGTAATAATCAGTGAAATCCACAGGTAATTTATTCCCTATCCTTATTTTCATTCCTGACTTTCCTCGTTAGTCCTTTTACTGGAGTTCTAGACATAGCAATATTGTTTGCTTTGCATCGATACCTTTGTATTCTCTTGATCATTTTCTGAGTGAGGCATGTTGTACAGTCAGGTGTCAAGTCAGTCAGCATTACTGAGTCAGGAACCTAGGTAATCAATCAGAAAACAGATGTGAAAGGAGCATCATTAATCATAGCTTGCTTTTTTAATAAAATGTGTTATTAAATACATAAATATATTTAATATGTGCCAGCCTCCTTGTGCTATTAAAGTAGGTCAATGTGAAAATACATAGTCCAATAATATGCGTGGGAAAGCAATCTTACAATTAAATTGATGTTCCTCAAAAAATTGTGTACCTGGACATCTTGAGATTGAGATTTCTCAAGGAAATTTTATAAATGTCCTAAATTTGAAATAAAAATACTAGACAACAACAGAACTTACAGAGGGGAAAAATTATCCCATATAGGTTTAAATTTTTTATCATTTTCATTCACAGTGTATAAACAAATAATCTATATGATTTTTGTTCTTTTTATTGTATTTTCTCTTTTAAAGTCTGCAGAATTCATACTAAGAGGCAGAAATACTCCCGTTACTGTTTAGAATGATTTGAAAGGAGAAATATTTCACCTACAAGTTACAAAGATCTAAATATAACTGCTGAATGTTATGGTTTGCTAAGATTGTTAAAAACACATAAATACGTTATAGACTGTGGAGTGCTGTCTGGTTTCTACTCTTGGTGGATGTCTGTGAAAGTAAACAGTACCTGGTGTTGGTGGGTGCTGTCAGGTCAGCCATGACTCAGCCACACTATGAACAACAGACTGGAACTTCCCTTATCAGCATCTGGGATCTAATAAATCCTTTGGCAAAACAGGAGAGCCAAGAAAATGAACCATTTCAGAACTGAAGTGGCTAAAGTTTTAACAGCAATGGGAACATTTTAACTGAATGGGCAGAATCTATCTATACGTATGTTTGTCATTTATTTAGAATTGGAATCATAACTAGTAAGTTTTTCATTAGTGTAGACATCTAATTTCTTGAAGATATTAATCAGTAAAGATGAAGATTTTCTCAAAAACAGTATCAAAATCCACATTTTCAGTGTTTTCTTTTAATATAAAGTACACCACTTTTAAGGAAATTATAAAAAGAAAATAGAAAAGTATTACACATTTTAATTGTTGAAATAAAGGAAATACTTATGAAAATACTGGCTATATGCTATTTCTCTGTTTATATATATTGCTGCTGAAAACTGGTGGCAGACCTATGACTTTGTTAGAATTTTGTAGCAAAGGTGGTTTGGTTGAAAGTTTATTATTTTGTCTTCCTTGATCCTGGTTAAATTTCAATTTCCAAGGTGGCTGACATGTCCATGACTTTATTGTCATAACCTTGAGAACATGAACCTTCTTTATAAAAATCAGAAGATAAACATCATCCTTCTTTCTATTCCTTATTTATTTATTTGTTTGTTTGTTTTTCTCATTCAGTTCAGGTCATCTTGCACTTGAGCCACCATCAAAACTATCATTATTTAACAACTATAGAAAAATTTATTAAGATTTGCAAATACTAGTTGATATCCAGTAAAATTAGGTCATTCTGTTTTTACAGTGTCTGAAGCATACACTTGGAGTTTAATTACAGAAACCAATTATCCTAGCACGTTTTATGATTATATTGCCCAGTAATTGACTCCTCCTTATAACTCAGGAAAACATGTGGTCTTTTGACTCTGGTATCCTAGCAAAACTCACTGGAAAATGCCCTCATTATGTGAATTAACAAATTTTGGAATTAACAGAAAGTTCACTACTGAAAATAGAACATTATCTCAAATGGAGGAAGAATGTTTTTATAAGAGAAATACTGAGATATTTCATGTTAGCTGTCCTGTAGATTGCTGATTGTTACATTCTTTCTGTGCAATTGCTCTGTATTTAAAAGGTCATCATTTTTTATTGGAAAAATTAGCATGTTCCAACTCTGTGTAGCATGTGGATACATTGAAAATTATTCATGTACAGACCAAAGAGGCAAGAATAAATAAGAAGTAGAAATCTGTCATTGCCAAAAACTCTTTAAACAAGCTTGATACCCTCTCAGCATTGATACCCATGCTGACTCTGAATCTGTTTCTCTCTCTACTAGGAAATATGCAAGAAAATGGGGAGAGTGAATGTCATTAGCTGTCCCTAATTGCATTGAGTCAGAAGATAAGGACACCTCACTGTTCTGTTTATTAAATTCTGTGTGTGTGTGGCTGGAGTTAACTTTTATTTTTCTGTGAGTCAGGAGTAAGAGCAGAAATCAGTCAAAAAACATTCAGATATTTGTTTCAGAGTACAATACAGTACAATACCGTGCTTCTGTGTGTGCAGGAAATTGCTGCCAAGTCATGCAGAGACACTGCGGGTTATAATGAACTGACTGAAGGTACCCAGCTTGTCTGTTCATAGTTCTTTTCCACAGTGTAGGCAGATGGCACAATTCCTTTGACTGATGCTGTATATGAGCCTTCTTTTATAAGCTTGATGTTGATTAACTGACTTATTTAGGAAACAAAGTAGAAATATGGGACAAGGAAATGGAACCTCTGTTATCCTGATTCCTGTTTTATGTTCTGAGAAGTCATTTGAAACACGTGAATAGTAATGTGAGCTTGACCTTTTGAAAGCAAGGACCACACTATTTGTCTCCTTTGCACATAGCCCAATGCTGTGCATGTGGCAGATGCTAGATAAGTGTGTATTTATTGTCTGAATGATCAAAGAATGAATGTGGATAGGAAGCTGGCAGACAGGATGCTAGCGTTTAAGAGAACTGTCTTCCCCAGTGCTTGATTATGAAGGGACAAGCTTGGCATAATAGTGGAGCTGGGAGGTACTCATGCCCTTTTATAGTAACTGAAAATAGAATTCTGATAGGAGATTATACCATTAAGTTCTTTACATTTGAAGAAATTAGAAATAAAATTATCACCTGCTTTAAGGTTACAAAGTAAATTACATATATCCACCGAGATTTGGGTCAGGAAAATGTTATAAATCCAACTATAACCTTTTTTTCCCTTGAGTTATGTCATCATTTTAAATGCTGTGCTCCTTTTTCAAAGCAATTTTGATAAGTGCCTTTGATGTTTGAAGATGTGTGATGGGAGATGCCCTAATTAAATGCCATGTGCCCAGTTCTCTAGTTCTCCGATCTTCATAATCATTTTTACTAGTGTTTGAAAATTTAATTATTGCTTCCATACCAGATGTGTGTTTGTAGCCCCTAGTATTACTCACTAGAAATAAAATAAACTGTTTCGTAGAAAACAAAAATCAAGTACTTTGGCTTTTTCACTATGTGTTTACCTTCAAAGTGCAGTCACATACAATTAATCTGGTTGATAACCCCCAATTTAATTCCACCCTGTTTCCAGTAAAGTATATGTTGTTGTTGTTATGTGCCATCGAGTCGTTTCCGACTCATAGCGACCCTATGCACAACAGCTCTAAACCCTGCTCTATCCTGCG